CGTTTCCTCCATCGGTCATACAACTAGGTAAGAGTGTGAATAATTCAGCAATCCGATCGTTTATATTCTCTCTTCTTCTTCTTTCGACTGCATTATGAGATTCTCTTCTTTTCTTTTTCTTCTCATTCAAGACTACATTACTTTTTTAATGATTTTTGTAAACAGAAAAAAATCATGATCAATCTCTTGACTTTTTTTCATTGGAAAAAAACTCTTTTTGAATCCAAAAACATTTTAGTTTAGTTTCTGTTTGACTTACTTTGAATCTAAATGATTTAAATCTTGATGAACTTCAACAGATGTAGATCTAAGCAAAGCAGGACTACCGATCAAAGAATTCATTTCATCTTTGATGATCGGATGAGTTCCTAAGATTTGAGTTTGATGAGATAAGACTGAATCAGCAGGAGAAGAATTCAGACCGGATGAATCGAATTTGGAAAATCCGTTTGAGTGATGATGTTGATGGGTTTGTTGAAATCCAATCATAGACGAATTCGAGGTTTGATGAGTTTCGATTTGATTGGGAGTAGACCAACCACCTGGATCAGGTGAAGCGGTTTTACTTGGTCTGTTCGATCCTAAATTTAATGATGATAGATAAGTCGGTGCTGAGATCGCTAATGGGGTTTCGGATTCGGAATTTCCATTGGGAATACTTAGAGCTGAAGAACGTAAGAGTAAACTATGACGAGATCCGTTATTGGGATGATTGGTTGGAAACGATCCAGATGGTCTACGAGCAGATCTAGACCTAGGAGCAGGTGCTCTTCCACTCATCGAAGTAGCACGACCCGATCTGGGCGCATCTTCAGGTGGAGCAGATGAAAAACTACCGTAATGATGTTCAGCAAAGATATCATTTTGATGGGTCGGAGCTGATGAATTATAACCTGTTGAGTTAGGTGAATAAAGATCATTTGGAGATAAGGGTGAATTAGAGATTGAAGGAGAACCGTGAGATTGGTCTAGATGACGTGGTAAAGTCCGAAGTGGAGTATGTGGTTGTGGTTGATGTTGTTGTGATGATTGAAATGAGTTTGGTTGATTTGATAATTGATCATGATTAGATGGATTAGAAGAAGAGAATGAAGTGTTTTGTAATTGATCATCAAAATTAAAAGAAGATGAAGTTTGAGCGATTAAGGAATCTAATAATTCAGCATCAGTCACATGACCAGATGGAGTAGAACTAAAGTTAGAACCGAATCCATTGAAATGATTAAATGAAGTAGTATGATGATGATGATGTTGTTGTTGTTGTTGTAAGATTTGAGAATCAGTTTGATGATTCGGTATAGAGATGGTGGTTGAGACATGAAACCCTTCGAGTCTTCTGGGTGGTTGTGATTGTGATTGTGAAGGAAGTGAAGGGTCTTGTGTGAACATGTTGAATTGGTTTGATGAGTTGATGATAGGATTCTGTTGGATTCAATCGGTTGATGGTTGATTAAAGTATGAAGTCGATGATGGTAAAGTGAAGTGGATTAGGTTGAAGTCGATTTGAAATGTTAATCTAGAACCGATCGGTGAGTTGATGGATGATAGTGAAGATGGTCAGGTAAACAAGGGTATTAGATTATCCAGAATGACTAATTAAGAATGTATGCGTAAACAAAACTGGATTAAGAATGGTGAATTGGAATTTAATTTGATAATCACTTTACTAATCTTTTAATCAAACTTCAGTTTAGAAAGACTTTAAATGCTCTGATCGGAATCGTTCGGATTGCAAGTCAAATCTGATTAGGATCAAGAAGTTTAAAGTTTGTGAATGGGTGAATTTACAAAATCAAGTGGATGTGGATGTGGTGATGGTTGTGCTAATCGGTTAATCGGAGATTGAGAAGTGAAAGGATACCAAAATCAATTTAATCAAATCTTTACAATCTGAATCGAGTTGAGTTATCAAAGATTAATCAAATTGGCAGGGAGAATCAGAAGGTAAAGAGAAAACTTCACTTTCACTTTCACTTTATTTCTTTTTTCCTTTTTTTTTCTTTCTCTTGGCTTTTCCCTTTTGTTATAAACTCAATCAACTTACTCAATACTCACTCCTCGATTTCTCTACATACCTTCGAAACAAATCCTTCAATTCAAATTCAATTAAATCTCCTATACACTTCAGTTTGATCTCTTCCTCTTCATCATCCTCACTTAACTGTTCCGTAATTCAAAAAGAGAAACAAATTCAATCTATCAAACGTTTGACTTGGCTAAATGAGCTTCATCTTCATAATCAAATCCTTCGGTCGGGCACAAAATGGTAAGCGAAGAGCCTAACGCAGCCTCTCGGGCCTCGACATCGAGAGAGAGAGAGAGAGAAAAAAAAACTAATCTCTAAATTTGATACACTTCCCCGGAATTGATGAATTGATGGGGTCCCCGCATCAATTTCTAATTCTGTACGGGATTTAATTTCCGGAACGGATCACGTCATTTTGAACTGTAAATCAAATACATGCTCTGGAGAATGAACCGTAGAATTTAACAGAATTTAAACATCAACTTCAAATCTGTATTCTCTTACCCTATATCTATCCGGCCATCCCCTCACACAGCCTTTAGCCTTTAGTATCACTTTAATCCTACCAATACTCACACACACACACACACACAATCCTTATATCTATCTACAAATTATCTCATCAACACAGCCTTTTCTTATGTAATCTTCTTTAATGCTCTAGATCACTATGGATCAGTTTTTTAAGCAGAGTGAACTCTTGGCTTGAATTCTTTACATCAAAGAATCAGAACAAAATCATCACACAGATCATCCTCCAATTAACTCACTTAAAAGAAAGAAAGAAAATGATCATGAATTATGTGATCAAGAATGATGGGATGCAAATCAAATTGTAAAAAAAAATCTTCAAAGAGATCTTCACATCATCTTCAGAGAAAATGAATTGATTGAATTCATATCTTTTCACTTTTTTGGGGAGGGAGGAATTTTGTCACTTATCAATTTGTGAGGGGGTGTTGATCAGTTTCACAGTGTGCACACACAACCACATTCACCCCACAGTCAGTGTGAATCTGGACACACTCTGTCACTCTGATCAACCCTCACATATCACAATGGGACCCAATGTTCTGTGTGTATATGTATGTATTGATTGATTTTGTTTTGTACACTATCTAAGAAACCTTTACTCATCACCTTTTGCTTTTTGAGTGGTGATTGGATTTTTCTGTGTTCATGATATTCTCAAGATGAATGTTTTCATTTGAATGATGATCAAGATTTTGATTGAGAATGAGAAGAAGGTTTGGTTTCATCAGGTTTGATCATTCTTAAAATTCTCATTGTAAAACATTTCAAAAGGAGATCAAGAGTCTATATGAAGCATGAGGTTGGATGGGTTTTTTTTCTGCTTTGAATGAATAGGTTTCTTGTTTGTTTCAAAGTTAAATGAAAACTCAACCCAACTTACATTCTCATCAATATTTGAAACCAAACCACAATTCATTCTTCAATCTGAAGTGTTTCTCCTCACCTCAACTTGTCTTGCAGATCTCAAAACTCATCTAGTGATCAATGAATTTCAAATCTGATGAGATTAAATATCAAACCTCTTTGTACAAACACACTTCTTTGTCTCATGAAAACTTGAATCACCATTATATTAGAGGGTTATTTGTGTTGACTTCAATGATCAATTTTCTACTCAAGATTTCTTTCAAGTCATTAAGAAAAAACTTATACTTCCATTTCTGATCTTCTGAAATAGAATTATACAAATTTTGTTTTACAATCAGGACATAGTAAGATGTGAAGACAGGTATAAAGATGATTTCTATCTGAAGTGAAGATTTAAAGAAACACATGTTCAAGTGTTCCAAAGCTTTTTGTGTAACAAGAATGGAAAAAAAAGAAATTGATAGAGAACTTTGATCATAATTGGTGATTGAGAATCTCATATAATCACAAGAAAAATGACTTAAATGAGGATAATGGAAAGTTGATCAGAAGAGTAGCATACTTTATCAGAAAAAGAAACATCACATCATACCTTTGATTTGGGATCCATATCACCTAAAAGATATGTTGCAAGTTGACTACCCTTGGCCACAATGACTCCTCCATATGCCTTACAAGTTCTAATGTAGTAAGAATTTTAAGATGGCAAACTCTCAAAATATCTAGCTTTTCTGTATTTACTACTTGTACACCAGAGGGTAGCCTTCCTAGACCCTTGATGGTTTTGTCACTGGCCATGTGTCCAGAAGCTAGGTGGAGAGAACCAAGACAAAACTTTTCCAGCCACAATCTTATGCTAAGCATGAGAAAATCAGAGACTTTAACTGTATTTGTTGGCTTCAAAAAGATTGAAAGCCATACCAAAAGATGGCAAAGGATGGTATGAAAGGTGATTAAATCATATGTGATGTGGCATCTTGATTGAAGTGAAAGGATCCTATCAAAATCCAATTGGTTCATTCTTGTCTGTTTGGACTTGGCTGAGCTCTCAACCAAGGTTTCTAATACTGTCCAATCCAGCCTACTTATTGGTGACTGGAATGGGAAGGAAAGTGTTTGTGTGCCCTTCCATCTGGAAGTGCTGATGGTTCTGCCTCTGTTTGTGGAGTGTCACACTTACCCCCTGGTGTACATGTCCCCACACTTAAGATGAGTGAGATGGTATAACTCCTTCTATCAAGTAATTATGTAACCTACTTGAAGGTCACTACACTTCACCTATGAATGTACCAGCTTACTACCACATCTTCAAAGCCCAGCTCTATTAGAGCAAGTGTATTAGTCAAGCTCAGTCAATGGTAAGATCAATCATATCAATCATGATTTCCCTTTTGAGATTTGTTTGACAATTTTATTCTTTGACAATTAAATCTTTATCCAATTCACCACTGGCCATTCCACCACCATGCTCAAAGACAATCAAATAAATTCAATCAATCCAAGTTTGTATTCCAACAGATTTCTGATCAAACTCAGACAAAATGTAAAAACCATTATTCTGCTGCCAGAGGTTTGGAAGCACCGGGGTCTGAACCCGGGTCCTCTTCAAGATGTGATGAACCATAAATGCAAATGAAGCATGATAGCCACCACACTATGCTCCCTGTATCAAACACGGCTCCTAACCCAAATCTGAAGAGAAAGCTTCTTTCTTGGAAGTGCAGTTACACTCTTTGATGGACACTCTGTGCAGAAACTACAATCTTTCAGGGATTCAGGAATCTGTATATCACATAATTTCAAATGTTCTGATTCAAATCAGCCAGCTTTCAAAAGAAGCTTAGTCATCATCTTCTTGTAATCAAGATTGAGACTGATGAATATATTCAAGTAAGATTTTCAATAGTGAATGTAACTGAGATCTAGCTTTGAAAACATCAGTGTTTGAAGATCATGAGTTAGTTTGAATCCAGTTAGAGCCAGACAAAATTTATGTAAGTGGTGATCTCCAACTTCAGATTCCAAAATCAAGTACAATGGTTTCTCAGAAAACTAAGGGCCCGTTTGGTCCGATCGATCAAATAGTATTTGACAAAATTTTACACCAAAAGTTTGAAATTTTGTCAAATACTATTTGGGTCCAATCTTGGTCAAATAGAGACTTTCAAAACACCGTTCGGTATCTTCATTTGACAACTCTATTTCATCAAAGATTTTCAAATATTTGTCCAAATAGAGATAGAGCCTTTTGGCTCTATTTCAGACCAAATAGTCTATTTGCCCCGGGACTTTCCAACCTCCATCAGCCATCCCGGTCTCTTTTTATCACTACCCACACACCCCTTTCCATATTCGAAGTAACCCACCTTTTCTTTCCTTGTCTCTCCGTTCCGTCTATTTTTTTAAAAATTCACCCGGTCTTCATCCAGTTCGCATGACTTCTATCCCAATCAAGGGATCATATTCCTCATTATATCTTTCCTGCTCTCCAGTGGTTTTTGTTGTATAGCTAGTTTTAGAATTACAAAGATGAACTAGAACAGGGATGAATGAGAACGAGAACAATGATGATGGTGATGATGAACAAAAAGAATGAAGGTCAATGAAGACCTTTACACACCACTCGATGAGATCGAGATCGCAAATACGACTTTGAAATAGTCGTTACCGAACAGCAATATGATCAACTTGAGGTCAACAGACGTCTGTTGACCTCGTTTGGTTTGCTGTTCGGTAGCGACCATCTCAGAACTACACGTTATTCAATCCGCCCCTTGAAATAGGGGCAAATTGAAAATTGGTTTTCAAATGGAATATTTACACAAAACGAACCGAACGGGGCCTAAGATGTGAGAAAACCTTTAAAAACTGATACTTGTAAGGCCTCGTTCGGCTGGTGCATTATAATGTACCTTAATCCGAAATTTGGATTAAATTTTTAATTTAATGTGCATTAAAAAAAAGGTGTTCGGCGGAGTTTTAATGCGAAATTTTAATTGGCTTAAACTGCCGCAAATGCACCAAAAAGGTACTTAAAAATAATCGACTCTACAGTCGATTATTTTGCTGAAATGGTGCATTAACCCATTAAATCCCTTTCCATCCTTCATCGGTCCTTCCGATTTCATCGGACTTGTCTTTTTTTTAGGTCACAGAGTCTAATTGCATTTCAATACTAGCACTTTGTAATGGAGATCACTGTGCGCTGATCACCAACACATCATCACAACTGAGCAACTCTCTATCCAAGTTAAGTTGCCCAAGATACCACAATAATCCTCCCAAGGCCATCATTGTCTCAGGTTTAGAATGAATTGAAGAGATGGCCTCTGTAATTGATTTCTTCACTTCTCCAAACAAATCAGAAAGTCTAGAGAGACATTCATCAATTTGTAAATATTCATATGTCTCAAGTGCAGTCCAAGTACAATCTGATGATGCAATGTTTTTTAAAACTCTCATGGTAGAAGTTGATAAACCACCTTTTTCGTGAACAATCTCTTTGGGTCAAAATCAATTGCATTCGATGAATTTTAATCGAATTCATCGCCGAACACTTTTCACATTTTCAGGTACATTAAATACGAAAATGTGAAAACAAGCGAATAATGCGTTTAACGCATTTTACAACGATATAATGTACGACGGATTAATGTACCTTAATGCATTAAACCACAGCCGAACGAGCCCTAAGTGAAATCAATTTTGCTTGTGGTCAAAATTGGTGGGGAAAAAAAATCAAGAAACCCTTCAAACTTGATCACCCATACTTTTTTTAAATTTCCAGGTTCAAATCCAATAATCTAGCAGCAGATCATGTGACTTGTACATTGGACTTGTTTGTGTTTTTTCTATCTTGATACTACATTTCTTCATTGAAGCATCTTCACCTTGCATTGATGATCATAATCTCCACAATCACGCTTCCCAGAGACCTTTCTAAATATGATATCTCTCATAATGAGAAAGGATATGAAACCCCTAAAACCAAGATTTCCTTGTTATAACCAATAAGAGGACCCACTATGGTTGTCTTGAAGAGGTGATTTATTGTGAATTTACCACTAAATACACACAGCTACACTATGGGCTTCTTTTACACTTGCAGTCCATACCAATGCATCAAGTTTTGCATCACACTTGTGTAAATATCTAAGAAGACTGTGAACCTATAAAGTTGGTGTGCTATGTGAGCACCCTTCTCCAATACCACATATATTCAGATCTGAGAAATGACCTAAGTTTTATGGAGGAAGAGTTTCAATGAATATGAGAAAAGTTTTCTAAGCTTATAAAGCTTAAGATAAAAGTGATCTATTGGATTTCTTTTTCCAAACAATAATTTTATTACTACCCTATCAAGTTGATACAATATGTGAGCACTCTTCTTCAATACCACAGATATTCAAATCTGGGACCTGATCTAAACAATATTGGAAAAGAAATAAACAAAAAGATAAACACCAACAAATTATAAATAAGATATATTGAAGAAGATAATGTACCTAAGTTTTACAAATGAAGAGTTTAAATAAATATGAAAACAGTATTCCAAGCTTACCAAGCTTGAGATAAAAGTGATCCATCGGAATCTGATAACAATAAATATGAGTGAGAAGCCCTTCAATCAAAGGTTAGGAAAACACTTAGGCTCTTTGTAAAAGATAAGGAAATAGAATCAGATGAGAATGTAACACGAGTATATATATCTAACAAATAATTTCAAACAATGTGTTGGGATTGATGTTTGCTAACATTAGTTGGGAATGATGTTCAACAAAGAGATATACTTCATAACTGATCAATCTTAGACAAGAAATCATGAAACTCAATATCACACATACTGCCTACACTTGAACCCAGACACAATTAATTGTCATTTTATACTTGGCTTGATTGTATTCCAACAACTTGTTCAAATCTACAAAAGTCTAGAATTTGATTTATATTAGGACTTGAACCATAAAAGTCAACAATCATTTGGTTTCTTTTGACACATCAAATCTTTAAAACGTCAACACTTCAACATCTCACTCACAACTCCACTCAAATATCAACAATTTCCTTTTTGATCTTCACCAGTACAAACAAGATGCTATCCATCTGTACAGACACAAGTCTTCTAGGAGGCATTTGAGTGTACAGAAGGTTTTCTGAACAGGAATTTGAAGACCAGTTTTTCAAAATCTTTTGGCTCCTCACTATCACTCAAAGACTTTAAATTTAAATTGATTTGTCTTTCCAGTGAAGTAGGCAATGGGAAAAGTAATGGTTTTATTTGAATGTATCATATGAAATACAAATGATGTTTCAGTTCATGATTTTTTGAATTGTGGAGTTAAGTGACCACAGTGATTAAGTGTTGCTGAAACGGATTGTAAAGTGTCCCATAGTGAATTTCATGTGTTCAAAAACTTAGTCACTACACACATGATTAAATCTTTTGGTCAGGACCGCAAAAATTACAATAAGATACCTCTACCATAGTGGTTGCTCTAAATTGACGTCAAATCAAATTTTTCCAGTTTTGACAGGCATTTGATGATACTTGTTCAAATCCAACACTGAGATGTCTACACTAAGTGTATCTAAAAAACATCCCAATATGCTAAAGATAGCCATGATTGGTCCTCAGCTATGCTACTCAGTGTCCCAAGAAATGTGTGGCTATGGAGATTTTGGCTGTGGAGCATAGCTCAGTGGTGCAGATGCTCAGCTACAGTAGCGCATAGCTGGGTACAGTATGCTACCCTCTAAGTGAATTTCCCAATAATGAATACAGCTACTCTACATGCTACATGGATGGTAGTGTAGAGTAGCCTAGTCATCTCAACCAATAATTTTGGTCCAGGTTTTCAAAGTATTGGTTTTCTCAAAGGTGATTTTACCTTTGATATAAATGGTCACCTCGTGTACCTCGAAACCTCGGACCCGACTCGAGGATACAGCACTACGTATCCTCGCAGCGGATCCGAAAGAAAGCGTACAGATGCATTAAGGATGCATCAGATGCATCTTTTGTAAAAGTCCGACCATATGTAAAGTCCCACTTTACATATAAGTTTTTTTCACACCTCTTCCCGACTCTACAGAGCGTCTCACACTCCTCTCACACCTGTTCACATACCTCCCACATCACTCCTTCACACATCAACATCAAATGCATAAGTTTTTATTTACATAATCTGTTTCACACATCTCACCCTCCCTTTCACAAGCCTTCACTTACATATCTTGATCTTTACTCACACCTATCATCAAATCGCTTGGTAAGTTCCCCCTTCACACTTCAACCCCCATGCCTCACACCTCTCACCCTCCGATCACATTTTATTTACTCACACCTTTCATCCTCAATCACACCACCAACTTCACACCTTACGTCTCACACTCCTTCAACCACATCCCCTCAGTTTCTCAAGGATGTCTGCCAAAATGAAAACGACCATCACATACCCAAATCCCATACCTCCACCTCCGACCGATCAAGTCTTTGATAGTCACCAATCGGCCGGGAAGTATCTTAACGACTTTGCCTTCAATCACGGATTCGAGCTTGGTATTCTTGATACTCGAGAACCCACTTCAACAACCTTCAAGTGCAGCCTAGGACCTCACCGGCACAAAACGAAGTCAGCACCCGTCAAGACTTGTCCCTTCCGCA